ATCCCACGGTGGATCCGTGTAAATTACAACGATTAAAACATGATTTTAAAAATCTTAATGTATTTTAATATATTGTGCAAGATAGCATTGTAATATGACCTAATGCGCTTAGTAAGTAGGGAGCTTGGGATACTTTGCAGTATATGCCATAGTTCCTTATTCTGTGGTATATGCGGTCAAATACAGCACATTCTCCCCTCTGGATACATAGATTTCCCCTTCTGTCCTATCGTATAATAAAGCCTGGTTCCTGAGCTTCCTGTTGATACCAAAATGGCGCAATATAATGATGCAATATATTCAAAACAAAACATGGCTCGGAAGGGGGACGGAAGACAATTGAATAATACCACCATTCGATTCAGTGAAACAATACCAAATAATTCCTCACGATAGTTTTAGTCATTGCCAACATTGTAGCGATTTATGGCCTTTGAAAGTCAAGCAAGATCGTCTATTATCAAATTACGCAATTGTCTGAACCTAATATAGACTATCCATACAGTACCTTTCACCGAACATATAAAATTCGGCCCCTTTACTTTTCGGCCACTTAGAGCGTCATTTCCGAGCCTGTATCTTCAAATTTGTATCTTTTATCGGTATTTCCATTTCTGGTGGCTGGTGCCACTGTGGGCTAATCCCAACTGGAAATACAATTTCAAAACGTCCCAAAACAATGCGGCGTTTGTAGCGTACGACCAGGGTTCGAATTAGCGGCTCGCTATTCGCAAATGCAAATTCGCTTTTTGCTACTGTAAAATCGTCCATTTTGCGAATGGCGTTTTGCAAAAAGTGCCAAAACAATGTGTCAAAGGACAAAGGTTGATTTTCACAATCACTTCGAATGTATTTTACCAAAATGGAGTATTTTGCTGATTATTATTGTAATTTTGTACTAAAAGGATGTGTGAAACGAAGAATATGGCTACAATTTCTTCAGAAAATTTTGAAACGACGCCATTTTATTTTTTGCAAGCAGTGTTTCCACTTTCCAAAACTGAAATTTCCTTCAAATTTTCAAGAAGGAAATTTGCGAATCGAGTTTTCCTGTCTAATTCGAACCCGCAGCCCAGCGTAGGTAGAAGACCCTGGCTTGCGAGGTTGGTTCGAACCCTGACGACTCTGGAAATGCCAGAAATCGAAAGGGTCAAAGTGCACCGACAGTGTATATGCATAATTTTTTACGTCATCCGGTTACAGGAGCTCCTTTTGGCCAAGTATAGCGTGTGGCACACACGTTGCATTTTTCAAAATGAAAGCTAGCTAAAATTATTGCGGCCGCCCCCTAGTTTCCGCCACTGTTTTCAGCAACTTTACACAGACATTACTTTCATGCTCCCCTCTGGCCATATCTTCCCAGTGAGCTCCATATATATCTGGAGTAGGAACTTGGTTGCTCAAAGTGAAGCCAGTTTCGTGTTAACCGCGCAGACAAAAACAATAGAGAGGGATTGGAACTGACGTCCAAGAGTTCCTACAATTTCCGCCATCTTGGCAAGGAGTGTGTTGAAATATATTGACTTCGATTTAAAGAAAAATATTGTGATTTTATGAACTGAAAACTTGATTAGTGATACGGTCCATTAGAAAAAACTGGAATTAGCTGGGGAAATGGTATAAAAATTGTTTACGACCTTCATAGCTATTGGACGTCAATGGCCGCCAGCTTGGCTTCACTTTTCTCATTGACCAAATGACTGAAGTTCTTACTCCAGATATATATAGAGTTCACTGTATCTTCCTCTTTCTAACCACCTAGCTTCCTCTCATTTCAGGACTAGGGCCACTCTCTTTTCATCTCCTCAGAGGAGTGAGGAATAGTACACCCTGTATCGATAATTAATATCAATAGAATGCAATTTATATTAGTCTATTGATAATTAATCAATATTCAGATATCAAAATTTCAATACCAAATACTGGTCAATAAATCGTCTGGGGAATAAAATAATAAAGTATGGACTAGGGAGCATTAGGGCACAATGCAATTTAATGGGTTAATTGATATTGACTTTCAGTTATTGGTAACTCCGCCGCTGACTAATCTAACCATTAAACAAGCTAGGAGCCATGACTGCGTTCTATCTTTGCAAATTTTGAGAGCTAGATTTGAATAATCAGTAATTTACTATCAAAACGGACAGATCGAGAATTTGAAACTTCGATAGAAACTGAATGTTCTCAAACTTTATTCATCTATTCGCCCAATGCAATTGCAAATGGCTGTATTGGTTTGGTGCTATCTTTTGCAAAATATTAGCTTTCCTAATATGTCAAACAGTAGTTTATAACAATTGGGCCAAGATGGTATAGGCCCAGTTGGTCAGTGGGCCGAGTTGACCAGCTTCCTAGGGATCACTGGCTGGAATTATACAATTATGAAATACAGAATACCTCATTGCATTGCAAAGTAAACTTCGATCTATTTAACTTCCTATGTTTTTTTTGTGGATTGTTGGAGACATGTTCACCACGTGCCTGCAATCGTTTAACTATGGTCTCTCGCTTTATCTCAGGGGGTACACCATCAACAACAAACACTGGACGGACACCAAGACTCGCCAAGTACAAAGTGCGAAAGAAAACGTTGCGTAAATATGGTTTCAGCTGATCTTTTAAACCTTTGGTTCCCTGAGCTTCGCATATCCAGAGACTTAGGTCAATACACAATGTCTTATCACGAAGGTTCGCAATATTTTCTTCTGTTTTTGACGGTTCTAAAATGCTCCATAAATGTTGAACACCCATGTTCTTTCAAAATTTTTACTATTAAAAGTATAAAATTATAAATGTTTTGAATTTCCTGCCTTCCTGTGTTTCCACAATGGTTTGCGCTAAGAAACCTTTGGAAAACAGAAACTTTGCAATACCACTAGACAAGCACTAGTCTACTGTCTACAGACAGTTTGGCAATCATACACATTGATACACTGTCTGTCAAATATATATTTTATTTTTTCACCAAATGAAGCTGACAAACCCCAATTTTTGTTTCCAAATTCCATATACTTATGGAAGCAAATGGAAGCACAGATGACACTATCACGTGAATAGATTTCAACATTCCAGCAGGACCTAAAATTTTCGCTGTAAATAATTTCTTCGAAAACTGAAATTTATGTTTGCACGGACGTCTCCGTTTCAACAGCAAAGAAGTATTTTATGTTGAAGAATCTACTTGTTGTCCGGTTTGATGATGTACCGATTTGACTCTGCGAACATATTCACCGCCATATTGTTGCTGAATTTGTACCGACTGGCACATTCGTTGTCATCCGCTGCAGGAAAAGACGCCTTGCTTTTTGGCTCCAGTGCCAAAACGAAAACCCATTGCAACTGTTCCTTATTTGCCGGTAATGCAACCGTTCATTTTGATTCGGATGACATTGCTGTATCTTTTACAGTCACTATAAAGAACAGTCACAACAGCACACAGCCTGGGGAAAAAAGACGGTTTGTTCTTGTGCGCCATTTGCGAGCCAACTTCTTACTGGCACTTCCTGATGACAGTGAAATATTATCACTGACCACACTACAACATTCTGTACAAACCGCCAGCATTCAAATGTACCCAGTGAATGATAGCAAGTGTTTTAATCGTCTTAAAGTTAAACCATTGTGCCAAGATATGGTGATAGTAGCTGCATTTTACAACACTCATAAGTTCCATGTGGCACCAGGTCAGCCAGTCTGTTTTCCACCATTGGAACAAAAGAACAAGACTGAAGATAGTGACGTTGTGCATAGATGCTGTACATGGGAACCAGACTCAAACTCTGGTTTTGTCAACTGTACACAAGTAATATATCCTAATACTTGGGTTGCCTATGCCATTATTGCTGTACAAGTTGGAAGTGCTATACTGTTCATATTGACTCCACTGTTATTTAAATACCTGCCAACTAGAGATACCCAAATAGTACGACGATCAAGGGCTACTGGACCAAAACGTCTTGGTTATTCAAACTATTTGGCCACACCTGTTGACTCAGTCACTACAAACAGAAAGCTCCTCACCCTTGTTGAACCATTGTCATTTATAACATGTGGGGGAGATGAGGCACAAGCGTGTTACTCTAGACTTTGTCGAGTCACTGGGTTGTTGATATTTCCTTTAATATTTTGTATTTTTGTTTTGGTGTTTTTTTTAAACAACAATAACACAACAATTAGGACCAATATTTCCTACTATACTGGTTTGGTAGGTTTTCTTAAGCAGCCAGTAGAATATTATGTCTTTGCTATTGTCTTGTTTTGCATTCTTTTACTTGGTGTATTAGTGCTTATCCCAGGCCGTTTGTCTGGATTGGGAAAAGCTTTATCTGGTCGAAAGGATGAGAGAACCTTTCTTGGTTTCCCAAAACGTGAGCAGTTTATCAACCATCACTCAGGAAAGACTGGTTTTCAGTTCATGCAATCAAATATGGTATTTCACTTGAAATGTTGTTTTGATTTTGGTTTTTGGCTTTTTATTTTGGAAATCATCTTTGCACCATGTGCATGGTTGCTATTGTCTTGCTGTTGCCCTGCTAGTGATAGTACACCAGAGCAACCAGAAGATGCTGAACAAGATTATGAAGTTCCAAAACTTTGTCAAGTTTTAGGATTTCTCTTTCTTCCAGTTATCTTGGCTCTGTGGATACCCTTTGTTCTTTTCTGCCTTGTAGTTTATGTAACACCCATTGGATATGTTGCTTTCCGGATTTGCCGCCTGCTTTATAGTCAGGATATACCTGTGAAGTGTGATTGTTGTGAACGGCTTCCGTTTTGCATTCGGTTACTTCTTGTTTCGTTTCTGTATTGTATGTTCCTATTATTCTGTACTTCTGTTTTGGGTTCTTATATATTCTTGACTTTGATGTTTGGAGTCTTCTTTTATATCCTTGGGAAGGTATTTCTTTACACATTGATTGGTCTCAGTTTCAATGTTGAGTTTTTTATTCCTTACACCGTTGCTGCCTTTTTTGTTGTTTTGTACATTTGGAGGGCATTTTCTCACTACTTCTCTGTTTATGAGAACTTGCGCATTGTTCTTTTTGAGGAGTGTGAAAAATATGAGCAACAGGAGCCAATGAATATTCAACAAACTTCAAGTCCTAGTGATAGCACTGGTAGTGTATCATCCCAAACTGCTGGTCCTGGATTACTGCTGTTGGATAACAACAATACCCCTTCAATTCCACTCAGTCTTTATGTTGCTGTATACCGTCGACTCAGGCCACGTGGAAAAACATTTGTCTCGATTGTGATTAACTTGCTGTTGACATTGGTTTATCTTTCCATAGCGTTTGCAGCCATCATGTCTCTGAATGGTGCAGAAGACACATCAACATATGTACAAGCTGTCTTCTTGTGTGCAACGTTTCCTCTCCCTTTGGTGTTGTTCCATGGCAGTTCCTCCCATGCAAAACGAAGAAGAAAAAACCTTGAGTACCAAGTGAGGTTTATCATACATAGGTATGTGTCAAAGTTGGGAAGTAGTCATGAGATTGACTCCACAGTTGAGGCTCCAGGAAATGTTGAATTCATTCAGCCAACTAATGACATGTTTGAAATATGATTTTATGTTATACATGCCACTTCAGGATCATGACATAGGCATGGCCTCAAGAACTTTTACCAACTCGTTGGCTAAAAATCGTACATTTAATTATTACTTAATAAACTTTCTATAAAAATAATAGAGTCGGAGTAACGTCTGATTTGACAAAGCAGAGCGATTTTCAATCGTCATGTATGCAGGGATGTTTCTAACCGTATTTTAATGTGGGGGTTGTAGGTGAAATTTTGCCAAGTCATCTTAGCCACTAAGTAAACCGATGAACATAAAAAATTGTTTCTGGGCATTATATTTAATTCATTTTCTTTTTGGTTAACGTACCGTTATTCGTTTAATTTTTCCGTAATGTTTTCGTAAATTTCTCCAAATTGTAGCTATCATCATTAGTTTTTTATCAGTGTCACTCATTTAACGCGCTACAAATCTTGGACTTTGAAAAACAAAATATTAATTAGGAGAAAAGTTATTTTTACTAGTGAAAACTTTACCATCGCACTGCCTTGCCGAATCGCGTCCTGTGTTTTTGGTCCTTGAAAAGTATTGAGTCTATTGTCGACTATTGTGTATTACACAAATATTACATTATTCTAAAATAAATAAACATTTATTGGAAATAATCTTATGATATGGTATAATAACATATATTTTGCAGTTTTCCATTATTTAGTATGTCGCTATTAACTTCTCTGTCGAGATACATTTCTGAGGTTTGTTGGACAATTGTATAACATCGAACTGTATCATTCACCGTAAAAGTTGTAATATCTTTCATATTTTTTGGCAAGGTTTGTCAGGCATGATTCCATTTGCCAAATATTACGCAACGCGAACTTAGCAAGTTCTAAAATTGTTAGATGACTTAAAAAATACTCAATGTCCAATGAACTGAGACGGCAAAATATTGTGATGACAGTTATGTGGATAACAAGCAAACCTCAATATCTCGCGAATAAAAAGAAATATCGAGAAATCATGCTGCTGTTCTAACAGTAACAATTTTTAATTAAACATCTTTCAAATACTATTTGAAAAAAAATGTGTCATAATATTTACTCTTAGTTTCATGTTTGATAGCTTCATGCTAATTAAACTGCAAATTCGAATTTTACCGTTGACGTTTTATTTTTGCTCCTGTGTATTTTGCTCTAACTTTCTAGTTTGTTATCACTGCAAACGCATGAGTACTGTCTGTATATAAAATAATATTAGAGCAGTAATTGAAAAATTGAATATTCGAACAACTGATTAATACAGTAATAGTATGACAAATGTAATCCAAACTTCAAGTTTGTGAAACTGAATTGTTTTTGTAAAATTAAGACGTTGTTTAATTAATATTAAATTTACGTATTATTAGCGTAGTGAGATATTCTGTACAGTGGCCCATAAGGGACATGCGCGACTAACTAATTTTTAGCTCGCGACTATATCCATTATACGTACAGGATAAACACCGAGAAGGAGGGATTTTAATGACCCGAGGACGCGCAACGTCCGAGGGCATTAGTGAGCTTAAGGAGGCTCCCTACACTTGCGTGCGGGATGTTCGCGGGACCAGTACGTGAACTATCCCACGCAACCGCATGATCAAAACAAAACAAAAATTGACCACGCTTTTTTTTTAAAAAGCTATTTCTGAAAGGTTTCTAATGGAAAAAAAGCGTTGAATAATACTTCGTTTTGAGTGTCAAATCACTTGCGAGTCTATACAGCAATTCTACATATGATACGAATATCACTACCGTAGACCAAAAAATAGCTACGAAACAATGTTTTTTAATTTTTTAAAATATACATTGTCAACTGTAAAACATTTGCAAAATTGCATACAAACGTTTAAAAAGTTGTTTACTTCTCAAGAAAACGTTCACGTTTTTAGTTGTATTTCTACAAGATTAAAGTGATTATATGTAAACAGAAAAATATTTCAGACCTTCACAATAATCCTTAGCTGCCCATGGCCAAAGATTAGATACGATAAAGGACTACTCATTGTTTATTGTACAGGGGGAGACTGAGGAGAAACTCTACAGTTATAATATCCCCCCCCCAACAGGCAAAACAAGAACATAAATTTTGGTCCCCCTCGAGCTCTTTATCTTTATTTAGAGAAACAAAAACTCTAGCTCTTTATTTAGAGAAAAAAATTGATAATGGGGACCAATAGACAATTCCCATTGTAGACTAATTTTTTATCTTAGCAAAAAAAGTATATTCCCGGGAAGGCTACTATGATACTAAAATTAGTAAAATTGCAAAGTTTGGTTGCAAAATGTTGTAAAATGTAAAAAATATAGCCTTCCAAAGTTTGCAAATTCTGTATACTTTTGTATTGCAATTTTCGCATGCAATACAAAAGTATACAAACTTTGCAAGGCTATATTTTCCGTATTTTACAACATTTTGCAACCAAACGGCTTTGCAATAATTTACTTATTTTAGTATGCTCTTGCTAGCTATGGTGCTTAATTTGAGTGCATCAAAGCCGGATTTTGAGGGGAGGTGTAGAGAGGTGCGCACCTCCCCTGAGATCGTTTTGCACCTCCTCTGAGAATTTTTCCACCTCTCCTGAAAGGTCATGCACCTTCCCTTGGGAAAGTTTCAATGATGGAACAAAGTGAAAATGTGATGGTTGCTTAGGACCTACACTTCGTGACGTAAAATTGTAAAAAATATGTAAAATTGAAACAGTGATAGCCATTCATCTCTGTGTCAAGTACCCTTTTAATGCAATGTTTTGAAAGAAACTTTGTAGATTGGAGTCATATACATTCATAATTCATTAATACACTGGTACATATGTACACTACATGCATACCTCACCTCGTTGATATTGGCCTGTTCTACAATAAGCCCTAACTTTCCATGGGAGTTGTCAGCTAGACCGCTGCACCTCCCCTAAATTTTTTTTCCACCTCCTCCATTATTTTCACCAAAATCCGGCCTTGATTTGCATCTCTTTGCCTAGTTCTAAATTTAGTCTATAATGGGGATTGTCTATTTACATGAACATAAGAGACTTTTTATTGGCTTCCATTTATGAATATTGAAGGTCTATAAACATTGTTATTTGTTAAGTTGTTTTGTGATACATTTTTAAAACTACTAATGTTTATTCAAAGCCCCCCCCCCCCTTTCACTGTTTCAGGTTTTAAAAATTTTAAAGACCCCCCCCCAGTTTCTCCTCAGTTCCCCCCTGTACAATAAATAATGAGCGGTCCCTAAAGACAAAGATTAGATACGATAAAAATGTACCACTCTGCGAAAATTATGTCCGAGATTTTTTTATAAAGCCGCCATTTTGCCAGTATTAAAGTGTCAAATCCAACGCCATCAGTCTCTAAATAGTAAAATCCAACGCCATCAGTCTCGCCGCCATTTTGGCAGTAAGTGTTATATCACTATGGTGTTATGCACTCGTCATCTCGCGTGATCACTCGTGATCAGCACGGAAAATTACGGACACGCAAACATTAGGGAAATACGTCGAGTGGCACATCTTTATCGTATCTAATCTTTGCTTACTGGCAAAATGGCGGCTATAAAAAAATCTCGGCTGGACGCCGGAACGATGTGAAGGCAAGGGGGGCAGATTTTCGTGTAAGGGCACTTTTGAAATGATATATACTAAGAGATGTTTACAAAACATTGGGAGTTGAAGTTCGCCTAATCATGTTTTCTATTTATTCGATGATAGGGGTCTGAGGGGGTTCTCCGCCAGGCGATTGTGCTATTCTTGAAGCTCGATGAGACGATGACTGCATTTCTTGCGTTTTCCGAAGCAAATCCGTAAAAGAATCGCACTGTCATTTCTGACAATTCGCTATTTCGCCAAGGCAATCCTTTAAATTGAAAGGGCACCTTTGCCCCCCTTGCCCCTCCTGGTAAAGGGCAACGGGGGCGGCTGCCCCTCCTGCCCCCCCCCCCAGTTCCGGCGTCCCTGAATCTCGGACATAATTTTCGCAGAGTGGCACATCTTTATCGTATCTAATCTTTGCCATGTCACTCAAATAAATAAAAACTGTTGACAAAAACAAAACAGTATAATAAAACAACATTGCCGCTCGATTTTGCTGAATGAAAGTTCGTTTTGCGGCCGCGTACAATCTTTTACTAGTCAGTGACGCTTTTCAATAAGGGGAATTTCTCGAGTTACACGAGGCTATTTTCTAATTTTATTTGCATTTTACTCATTAGTTTCATCGGTGACCTATCTTCAAATTTTGACCACGAATTTATTTTGCGGAAAAAATGCTTTGGCTTTTAATTGCTAATTCCTTGATGTGCGCGGTGACTCAATTCGACAACACGTTTTTGTAGAGCGATAGGGACGACAACACGTGATCCCCGACAAACCACACCTTTGACCACACTCAAGTCGTGTTTGATTTCCGGGACCATGTAAGGTTTTAAGTTCTCGTCATTGTCGCTTATTCCCGACTTGATTGCTTTACTGATCTCTGGTAGACTTCGCATCTTTCTCCTTCAGCCCTAATGTCCTCCACCGTCACTGTTCCTTGTTCATTAAGGGCGTGGCAGCACCCGCTCTCAACAACATTCTCCGCTGCTGCTTCGATCTCAAACACTCGACTTGATCCTGCTCGATCAACATGATGTCGTGACATGTAATCAGCGATGCATGTCTTTCCCGGACGGTAGACGATCTCGTACTCAAACTCTTGCACGTCCATAACAAAGTTCTCGACTCTTGGAGGTAGCTCCCCGCATAACTTGTGGAACATATAGGTTAGTGGACGGTGGTCCTGCATGCCCAGCGCACGGCTAGTGCCTCTCGCTCAGTCGCGGAGTATCTGGTTTCAACCTCTTTCAGTGAGCGCGACTTGTACATAACCGGGTGGAAGGCCTCAGTCTTCGATGCTCGCTGGACAAGAACTGCCCCCAGACCCGTGATACTGGCGTCTACAACTAGTTCGGTGTCATGTCCGATTACAAAATGGTGTAGTAGTGAAAATTCGCTTAACGAGGCTTGCAACTTGGTGAATGCTTCTTGGCACTTTTCGTCCCACGCCCAGATGTTCTCCTCAAGCTGTTGCCGCAGAGGGTGGACAATACTCGCGAAGTTCGGAATGAAACGTTCACTAAACCCTGCCATCCCGAGAAAGGAACGCAGCTCCACTTTACTTGTGGGTTGACTTGCATATTGTAGATTCTTTACATTCTTTGGATCGGGTTGAGTTATGCCCTGCTTGTTGAACACCAGCCCGACGAATCGCACCTCCTCTACATCAAAGACACACTTATCAGGATTCACGGTGATACCATTACTCGTTAAGGCTGACAGGACTTTTTGCAGGGCTGCATCATTTAACAACTTTATTGGTGCCATAAATTACTTTAAAATAATTAGTTCAATATGGAGTGATTAGTTAAGATGACGCACGAAACATCATCATTCATTACTTTTTGGACGCTTTACCTCTAAATAATTGGTTTACTCTATGACCTATGGCAAGAGCAGTCCCGCACCAGACTCCATGTGCACGTCATGTCCACGTCAAAGGTTCTGTTCAGCTCTAAACTAAAAGTGTTTTTAGCCAACGTTTTAAACGTCGATAAGCTGGAAACGTTTTGAGAAGGGGAAGTGACAATAATACTGTTCCAGAGCTTGACTATACGGTTAAAGTACGATCCTTGGAAGGTGCTTGTTCTGCAGGACGGAATTTTTAGAGTTTTCGCTTCGCTTAAACTAGTACGTCCGTGGGTTACAAAGGAAACAAAGTTATTGATATCCAAATTTATATACCCGTGCATTGCCTTGTAAAAGAAAACCAAATCCTTTACTTCGCGATCGTAACATAATGGCAGTAACTTCAAGGTCACCAGTCTTTCCTTGTACGACTGTTCACCTTTTCGTTGCTTCAGGATCCACCTCGTTGCCCTTCTTTGAACATTTTCAATTTTGATTTTCAGTGAAGTGAGTGCCGGGGACTAGACTTGGCTAGCGTAATCGAGGTGGCACTTCACCAGGGAGAGGTATAGGGAACGCTGCACTTTCGTGTTGGTCAGCAAGGGGCATGTCCTACGTAAGAGTCCAAGCATTTTGTTGGCTTTGCACACCACAACGAGGACTTGTTGATCCCAAGTGAGGTGGTTGGTAATGATACATCCCAGGTCTTTTTCTTTTCCAACGTGGACCAGCGTCGTATTTCCAAGATGGTAATCAAAACATAGTGGATTGCTTTTTCGGGTTACTGTCAATACCTTACACTTCGATGCGTTAAAACTAATGTTGTTATTATGGCTCCATATACTCAGATGATTCAGGGATCGTTGCAAGCTTTCACAGCTACCGAGACAGGATATGCTCTTGTAAAGTTTCGAATCATCAGCATACAGTGCTGTCTGTGACGTATCAGACACAACATTAGGGAAATCATTAATAAAGATAACGAAAAGTATAGGACCAAGTAAACTTCCTTGAGGAACGCCTACGTTACAGTCGCCCAATCGGATGCTACACCATCTACAACGACTCTTTGAACACGGCCGTGCAGGTAGTCGGTGAACGAATTTAACAAGTTTCCATTTACCCATATGATTTTAGTTTGGCAAGGAGAATGTCATGGTCAACGGAGTCGAATGCTTTGGCGAAGTCCAAATATAGAATGTCTGTTTGAATGTTCTTGTCCAAGCTCTTGCCGATAGCGTGGAAAACAGGCAGAAGTTGTGACACACACGATCGGTTTCTGATGAAGCCATGTTGTTCATCAGCGATTAGATGGGATATATGGTTGTACAGATTGCTGCATACAGAGCGTTCGAGAATCTTGCTAACAATCGACAACAGCGAGATAGGACGAAAGTTCTCAGCTACTTCTTTTGACTCCTTCTTATGAACAGGTGTGATGTTCGCAGCCTTCCATTCTATGGGTACTCTGCCGCAGTTCGGAGAATGATTGAATAACGCACACAAACTTTGTCCAATTTGTTCACTACATTCCTTTAATAGGCGAGGGTGAATTCCGTCAGGGCCATGTGCCTTGGTTACATCTAAATTGCTTAAATTGTTCACGACTTCTTCCACACTAACAGTAATATTGGACAACTCTACATGAGTTTTAGGTGGAGTGTCGTCGTAATCATCGTTCTCCGTGCTTTTGTTCAATCGTGAAGTTTGAAAAACAGACGCAAAGTATGAGTTAAAAAGTTCTGCTTTTTCGCGTGGGGTTTTCGCCGTGATGCCGTCAGGGCCTTTTTTAACATACAAGCTGGGGGGCCCCCCACGAAATCACATTTTGCCCCCCCAGTCCCTTTTTCCTAAATTTATACCAACAAAACAGCGAAGAATAACAAATAAATAAACGGAAAGTAAGTTTTAGGCTTTATCCTTTGTCCTTGTTTAACAACATCGATCTAAATTGTTACGTTTTTCTACCACTAAGTAATGATAAATTATTGTTAATAATTTTTTTATTTTTTGGTTGCTCAGAATGCAGGAAAGAGCATTTCCAGGTTTCAAATTTGAAAAATTTTCTGGAGATTATGCCACCACACACGTGGCCTTCGGCCATTGGTATCCTCCTCTAATAAGTATAATGATAAATTACGGATAATATTCTTTTTTACTTTTTGTGCATTTTTCCCTTCTTTTATTTCAAATACAAGTATAGTTAGCATAAATTTTAGAGCAAATTTGGATGCTCAGAATGCAGGAAATGGCATTTCCGTGTTTCAAATTTCAAAAATTTTCTGGGGGAGTACACCCCCATACACGTGACCATTGGGATCCTCCTCTAATAAGTAATGATAAATTATGGTTAATTTTTTTAACTTTTTGTGGGTTTTTTCCTTCTTTTATTTTAAATACAAGTATAGTTACTATACATTTTGGAGCGCATTTGGGTGCTCAGAATGCAGGAAATGGCATTTCTGTGCTTCAAATTTCAAAAATTTTCTGGGGGAGTACACCCCCCCCTCATACATGCGTGCATGGTATGTTCGGCGCACACGTGGCCTTCAGCCATTGCTATCTCCCTGTAATATATTAGGGAACTTTAGATTTGACTACGATTACGACTACGAGTACGAGATTCGTCAAGCGAAAACGCATGCTGTATGCTTACGCCATCCCGTACTGACGCGAAAAAGTCGTACTCGTCGCCCATCTGAGTACGAAATTGTGGAGAAATCTCGTAGTCCTCACTACGACTTTTCAAAAAAACAAAGAAAGTTGGCTTTTTTTTGTTTTCCAAAAATAATTTGTAGCATTTATATAGCGTTTATCCGGCGCAAATAATATATTAGTACTAAATATCTGGCCTGTTTTGAATGTTATGACTATTTACACGTTTCTTAGGGGATTTTAGTCTGCAGGAGATTTAGTTTATGAAACTTTTTCTCTCATTGTTGGTTTACTGCTGTAAAAGCAACATTTGAATGGAAACGAAAACGACTGCGGTAATTTCCTAGCACGCGATCAAATCTCGTACTCGTAGTCGTACTCGTAGTCAAATCTAAAGCTCCCTATTATCTCACAGAAAGGTCCCTTTTCAAAAAATGCCCCCCCACGGGAAAATCCTTAAAAAAGGCCCTGGATGCCGTTATATGTTATGCGAGTATTTTGATCTGTTCGATTGTGAAGCATAGCTTTATGATAAGACCAAAATGTTTTAGGATTGGAACAGAACGATGATTGAATCTTATGAAGATATTCACGGTGCTTTCGCCTGATTAATTTTTTAACGTTTTGACTGATTGTTCGTAGTTTCAATTTCCAAGAATCTGACTTATCCAAACGGTAGTTTCTCAGTGCAGTATATTTCTTTCGAATGAGATATCGAACCTCACAGTCAATCCATGGTGGAGAATTTTTATTGGTTATCGTCTTAACAGGGACAAATTGATCAACGGCTGCTTGAAAATTACTTTTCCATTGCATCCAACACTCGTCAATATTTTCTGTGAGATCTATTTCAATCGGTGTTCTCTGTAGGAACGTCCGAAGTTCTTGAAATCTTCCATGATTGAAATCATAAACATTAAGTCGGATACGACGAGCTCGACTGAAAGTTTGTGTAATTGAGAACTCGACTGGAAAATGATCACTGGGGAAATCACAATGATCCAGCGTTCTAATATCTCGGATTAGTTCAGGTTGGTTACATAGTAGCAAATCCAATTTATTTCCTCCGAGGTGCGTAGATCCTGTGATATGCTGTTGAAGAAAATTGTCATTGAACAGTTCACAGAAACGCTCATTTTCCATATGTCCTCTTGAGCTCATTGGTGGTGTGTGATCCTCAGACCATGTCACGCCAGGAAGATTAAAGTCTCTTACAACTACAACGCCATCATTTTCTGACTTACTTTGGAGTGAATCATTCAGTTCGTGCAAGGCATCGGGTGCAGCGTTAGGTGGACGGTAGAAGGTGTATAGGGTCACCGGTTTACTGTTCGTTTGTTTAAGTTGTATAACGACAAGCTCGCAGTTTGGTCTTTCAAGATCTGGGCGGTGTGATGCTTCCAAGTCTGACTTAATGCCGACTAAAACGCCACCACCAATCTTGTTCGCTCGATCTTTGCGAAATATGTTGTAACCAGGTAGTATTTCACTGTCGGGAATGCTGTCGTTCAACCAGGTCTCGCATATACACACCACATCATAACCGCCGCCATGAACTAGTTGCAAAAGTGTTAGGGAAAGTACATTTATTACACCGAGGGAGGGGGATGAAGATGTCTTGAAAAAAGCTCATATTTTTACAGGGCCCCTGTTGAGGTTATCGGTAAATTTCGATGCCCCCCCTCGAAGTTTTTAAAATTTTCAATGCCCCCCCCCCTCCTCTCTAGAATTCGGAATCGAAGGAGTACAATCCGGAATTCTCTCTTATCATAGATACAATTTGCAGTTCCTCAAGATGTCTGATATACTCAAGTGCTACTCAGTTCTTCTTCTTAACAAAACTACCGATCTGCTGCTTCTTTCATCTCACTAGCGCCAGATGAAATGGCACCGTCTTTAAAACATTTTAAATTGGCTCTAGGGTGGAATTATCAACAGGTTGTTGTTGTCCATCATTGAGCGCGTGCCAGTATGCTTCAATTTCTTTAATTTCCATCCCGTTTGTACGAAATATCCCGTAAACATAGAACATATCATTCTTGCAAATTGTATATGCTTTTTACTGCGTAAATTACTTCACAAACCTGGCGCAAAAAAATTTAAAATAAGCTATCGGTGATTTCATGTATCCATTTAAAAGAGCAGACTAAGGATATCTTAAAACTGAAATCGGTTTCGAATACAACCATCAGGGACGTAGCAAAGCATCTGACGTTTGGTGTGGGGGGGGGCCCCCCCTTCAGTATATCAAGAACTTTCAGAGCCCCCCCTTTAATGCCAGAAAATATTTCGGAGCCCCCCCTTAACATCTTCATCCCCCCCTCGGCATAATAAATGTACTTTCCCTTATCGTGCATACCTTGAGTGAGGTTTCGTCAAGAGGTATAAAAGCTTTCAGACTAGCTCCTTGCATTAAGATAGAGAACTTTTAAACTGTGCGTAATTCGGCGGTCCGGTCCTGGATTAGATGCAACATCCATACATATCGTTAAGTCTACAACTGGATTGGAGTTGGGTGAGGACAGACAAAGGTAGCCGTGTTTTGCCCACGTAAACTGAGCGGAATTCATGGAGTTTCTGAATTTAAATTTAAATCGAAAACGAGTGAAGGACATCGGGATCATTTCTTGCCCAACGCACCTTTTTTTAATGTACGTCGTTCCGGCATTGCAGATTCCAGGCGCAGTTGTGGATCTTTCTTCGAATCGCACAAGTTTAGCTTCTGATCTATTAGCCAATCAAATTATTGAAATGAACATAAGGATCCCAATGATAACTTTTGACAATTTACCGCGATATTTACAGTTGAAAACAACCATTTCGCAAATCATCACTAAATGTTTTACGCGCGAAAATGACAACAACTCCAAGAATTGCGCGAATTCGTCAACAGAAAATTTGTTTCACGTCAGCAGACAGTCTGGTGTATCACACTTGCGTGTGCGTAATGTCAACGGAATTTATTTCAATTGCAATTAAAAACACCAAAACCACGACACTTCCAGCCTTGCTAAGACAAGTAAGGAATACAGGAACTGTTCGCAAAACTCACAAGAATATCGACTGTAACCTTATCTTCCACTTTCCAATAAATTGTAATCCAATCTTGAGTTTTTATGGTCAGAATATAACAATTTCGGCAGAGCGCCTTGGTGCGTGCGTGCGCACGCTAGCACGTGATCATGCTCTTTGACTGACTCGCCAATCAAGATATCATCCGCTATGTTCACCTGGCTTGGGATACCGGACAGCATCTTGTGCATCTCCAACTGGAGGATATCCTGGGCAGATTTGGTTCCATTAATCATGTTAGCTATCTTTTGGCGCCTAGTCATTGCCGAAACTTTCTTGCAGGGCTCAGACACTCGCTTTACTAGAAACTTCTCATTATACCGGATCAATTGGAGCTGCAGTTTGGCTGACTGTTCGGAAAGTAGTGGATAGGCGGATGGTTCAGATGTCACATATATCTCAGTGTCGACTGTCCGATCCCCAGCTGTCAGCACTGCCTTGAATGAACCGATGACCACCAGTGGTGTCTTGCCCCCATATGCAACTTGATGTTTGTCAGTGTCAACTTTACTTCCCCCCGAGTCTTTTCTTTAAAGCTGCGGAAGTGTGCCTCATCCCAGACGTCCTTTTGGTCCTGTATCCGGTTGCCACAGAACTTCTTGGTCGTTAGTGCGGACTCTCATCAGCGATGGCTTTTCCCTCATCCCAAGGTTGTTAACTAATTCGATCTTGGCTGTGTCATACTCATCAGTGTCGGAGTTGGTGTCGTTTTCGGTGTCAGTTTGGGGTTCTGCTTCGATGCGCTTGATTCCTGCTTCCTTCTGTTTCTTGAAGCACTTGCTGGCATAGTGTCCTTTCTTTTTACAGTAATTGCAGATTCTGGATATGGCTGGGCACTCCGAAGCAGGGAAATGGTTTTCGTGTCCACACCGATTGCACTGGTCTGTGGTCTCCTTCTGTTGTAACGGTTGATTTCGTTTGGCACCCACCTTGTTGACTACCTGTCGGGAGTCCCTGTCTATTACTTTACTTCGGGCCACAGCATCTTCCTTCTTTCTAGAGATATCTAAGATTTGGTCCAGTGTTCTGTCATTCTGTAAAAAGTTTAGGCGGAGGGTGTCATCTTGCATATTGCTGATGATCAGGCTTTTGATCATTTTCTCCGCCGACCAATTTGTAAAATCGCACTTGCTCGCTGCTTTACGTAGCCTCATCGCATAACTTGTAATACTTTCTGACGATTCGATTTTCATTCGGAGTAATTCAAAGATAGCAAAGTCGTTGCACTGCTTTGGTGAAAAATGTATTTTCAATTTGGTTTTAGATTGCTCATACGCGGTCCAGTTTTCTTCCTCTGTGCCTTCTGGTCTGCCTGGTTCTGGCAGTGTCGTGCAGGTCTTCCACCTCGGTGCCTGCGTATATTAACAGCGCCATTTTGGCTATTTCTGGTGTTTTACTAGGATCACATCCGTTATACTCGAGGTCTCTCTCAAACCGTTCGAACCACTTTTCCCATCGTTTCCCCAGGTCTAACCGATCTCCGTGAAGATCGAAGGGTAAAACTTTTAGCTTGGGTCCTTTTGTAGCCGTAACGGCTGCAGAACTCGTCGCCATTGTTGTACTGAACTCTTGAATACTTTATTTACTTGAAACAACCCGTTTACAAAGCTATCTTTTACTCTATATCGAGTCCGTACCCAAAAACAATGTTGTTTTCTTCCCCTTAAATCCCATACTCCAAAAGGTGATTTGTCCCGATAACAGTCCGATCGTAATATAAACAAATGTATAACACAAGATATAACAGCGTCGTGTTTCCATACAATTTCTCGTTTTCCCAATTCCACTCGTGTTGATATAACTGTATATCAACACGGAAAATGTTTTATTACCGTGCCTGGATATTATAGTATCTCACGCTGCATTGAATTTGAGTGAAATACGGAAAAAATCACATTGTCACGTGGTACAAATGATGTTTTTTCATTGGACAATTTGAATTTGAGGTATAATATAAAAAGCTAGGTTTGACAGTACAGCCACAGAATAAAGATCAGTACCAGAAGGGCCACTCAGCGGTGCAACGTGTCACCATTTTTCTATGCAAAAATATGCAGTTGACTGGCCAGAAGGCGGGGCCTTCAACCAATACAGCGCGTTTATTGGCCAGAAAATGTAATCGACTGGCTAGGAAGATGGCGGCCAGGGGGCCCTTCTGTGTGCCTTATTCTGTGGTACAGCCCAGGAGGCTTAATACCAGTTCGAAAATGAACACCCCTCTCCATAACCTCGCATCTTTCCAATTCCCCAGCTCTTATTTGGACTGCAGAAGTTGGGTATGGCCTGAACCTCTCCCCAACCAAATATTTTTTCGAGAATGGCTTGTGTGTCTACAGTATAAACATACATTTTTGTGGTTTGCTTGGGAAGTTCATCACTGGTGCGGACAGACTGATGTGGTTTGAACAGATTTAACACTTAATTTGATTTATGTTCATGCATTCAACCTAATTAGTTTTGAATGATCATTATGACGTACTGTAGAATACTCTATGTTATTTTCTGAACATTTTGAATAGAAGTCAATGATCAGTACCGATCCTCTTCATTTGTGTGATGTATATCATCATACGGTCATTCTTGAATCTATGATGTATATCAATAATATCGACCATGATACAGGTGCACTTTTATGTATGATGTGTCATACAGACACATTGATAACCTGACCCTCACCCCCACTCTAACCCCTCCTAACCGGGGCATCTCACCCTGATGGGGAGGGGGGTGGGCGAAAAACCCAGTGACGTGTTGTAAGATTACCCGCCATTCCACAATGACATGCAGCATCATATAGAATAGGCAAGCATACGCACGTATGTGACATATTCATTTTTCAGAGCAGAGGAACAGAACAGTTAACTTCATGCCGTTGTTACGTACTGCATGATTTGTGTAATTGTACGGGTGCATGGCATACTATAATCAACTACAATAAACTACATGAATCTCCACTATTGCATTTACATTAGACATGTGCTTTCAGAAATATATCTGCCTATATCAAGTGACTCACATTATCATAAACAAAATTAATAATAATAGTAATTACATTTATCCAGGACAACCAAATCACGTATGTGTTTTTCAGTGGGCTCCTGCATCAAACTACAATTATTTACAACAACTCTCTCAATTTAATTAGTTGCCATCTATTGGTGGCCGGAAACACTGAGAGAACAGATTCATACCATTTCCGTTTGCTGAAAATTTACCTGGATTAATTAAGTGGATTTACTTAGAAAAAGTGTAAAATGCGTTTACAATGTGGAAGGTTGTAACAGGCACTGGTTTGAGTAGAAGCTTTCTATCCACGATCAGTGGTGGAAATTTTAGTAGGGTTGGAGGCTATACACGATTCGAGAAAGTACGTCACCTTGGTTTGAGCCTCGTTTTCGTGATTACGATCATGTCACGTATCAGAGGTCACGTATATAATATACAAGTTTCTATAACCAAAAGACAACTTGCATGTTAGACTAATATTTTATTTAGGCAAAAAAAGTAAATTCCCGTAAAAAACTTATTAAAATCAGTAAAATTGCAAAATTTAGATACCGAATGTTGTAAAATACAGAAAATATAGCCTTACGAAGTTGCATATTTTCAGTATGTTTGTATTACGATTTATGTGTAGTCGCGCATACTATATTACGTGCGGAAATTGTTATCATTTTTGAGCCGAAAATGGTAACAGTTTCGGCACGTAATACAAATATACTGAAAATATGCAAACTTCGCAAGGATATATTTTCTATATTTTACAACATTTCGCAACCAAATTTTGCAATTTTACTAATTTCATTATGTTCTTTTTAACTGTTGTGTTTGATTCCCTTCTCTTTACTTAGATTAAAATTTAGTCTAACATGCAAGTTGTCCATTAAGTGACTTATTTTCCGGTATGATGAACATGATCCCCCGCCCACCGCCCACCCCCATGCACTGAGATTGAGAGATTCCCAATAACTCACTAGCACATCCAGTTAGAATCTACTTTATTCATGACAATTTCCCTACATTTATACTCTAGCTAGCCAACTAGGGCGTTTCCTATGATTTTACGTAATTTACATCATACTAAGCAAAGGAAGGGTGATACAGGAAGGGAGTACTTACTGCAATATGCTGTATGCAATATGTCGTGCCTACGCACAAGTAAAGTTAAACCCCACTGGCACTGAAAACATCTTGTCGGCAAATTGAAGGACTTTGTGTTTTACGTTGATTACCAATACTCAATGGTCAATAAAACTGAACTCTGACTGCAACACTAACGGTGACGTGGGTCGTGGGCTGATCTCGTACGGGTGACGTTCATGTCAGTCTCACGACATTTCGTGTGGTCTTTCACAACAGATCCTGAACGATCAGAGCAAAAAATACCTGGCATGCGGAATTGTTTAGGGTTTTAATATAGGGTTAAATTAAGTTAAAAATGTCTCGAAATTTGCTTTCGCATGCCATTCCTCACTAATTCAGTAATTCTTCGTTCCGCCATTTACATTCAGCGGGTTAATTTCGTGCGGTCATTTAAAATACTAAGATGATGTAGAATGATTGATGACATAGTGGTACAAAAAAAAACAGCTCAAAATTGAGATCGTAAATAAGCATTTATGTAATTAATTGAACGTATTTACAATATTTACAATAGTTAGACCTATTCAGTTGCCTAATAAAATTTCTCTGGAATGTACGTAAAGCCTTCGTAAAGCCCCGATCAAACCAGGATAAGAGTTGGTGAGAGTTCGCAGTCACGCATTGAGTAGAACTGAGTAGGGGGGACATTTCAAGCGAGATTTCAAGCTCGATCTAGATTAACAAAATAAAGATTTGATATTCAACTAAATTCAAGTGTTCCAACTATGTCTATACGTTAACTTAATAATAAAATACATGATAGTGACTGTACGTATATACCAACATAAACCAAAGCATACCAACTCTCATTGACTCCTATCCCTTGAATTAAAGGACGTGATTAAAATAAAGCGATGTCAACACGGAACAATTTTCAACGACGATTCCTTTGTAAAGGCTAGTTTCCACTCAGGAAAACTATCCGTGGATTGGAACGGACAAGAACATTTTTCTTTGTGTTAAGGGCTGATCACATGGACCGGGCTTTACCTGGCTGAAAAATGTCACGAAAATGTTCCTTGGGCCGCAAAATGAGTTGTGAATCAGGTTTAGGATGATTTTGCATCTATACTAAGCCAATTATTTATCGCAAATTTATTTTACGCGAGTTTTAAAACCACAGTAAGGTCCTAAACAAACGAGTCAGCCCGGTTAACCGGGCCAGCCCGGCACCATGTAATCAGCACCTTAAAGTCATTATAGTTCCAATCCAGAGCTCACAAGACAGAGCTCACGGATAATTTTCCTGAGTGGAAACTAGCCTTAAAGGAGTTTATACAGGAAATTTCGTTGCTTTGGGAACCTGTTGCGTTGCGAAACGTCGTACCGTGTAATATTGCCAACGTGTAATATTTACAACGCGTGATTTACACCCTTCCGGCAACCTTCATACGTATGATTTAATTAATTAGATTTCGCGTTACTGGGTTCCGAAATAGATAATTGTTTCATAAGTCAAAAATAGAATGGCACTGTTTGGCACTTGGCGAACTAAATGAGTGCCCAAACCCCTGTAAAACGCTTTCCAGCCTTCGTTCCTCAAAATGTTTTTAAATAACGTTATGAACGATTTTCCAATGTTTTCTCTTTCTCTCGTACGTGTTCTAAACACCTCATGAGGATATGCTATAACAGTTGCAATTGTTTTCGAAGTGGCTGCAGCCAACATACAGTCAGTCAAGTACAACCTTGCACCCGAACTTGAAGATCTCGAAGTGTCTCGTTGTCGTATAAGACCTCGTAAATACTCATAAATTGCAAAATGTAGCATTGTTTCGACTATACCAAGATAGGAAGCTGCTAAGCCACTGTAGAACGCTCGTATTCCTTCTTTTTTATATATTTCGATCGCCACCGGCATTTTTAGCCAGTTATGTTTGCTGACTTCGCAGTCAAGTTGTAATCTTGTTTTTAAGAACCATATAGGATTTGTGACTGTACAACTGACGAAGCCAGCAATTGCTGCAGAAGAACTGTGAATGATGACATGTTCTGACTGACCACGATTTTGACCCAGGAATCGCTTGCAGCACGAATACACAGGGAAATAGATCGCCTTTGACATTGAAACTGCCATAACATTGGCAGCAAATCCCCGAGAGAATAACACGTATCCTTCGTTTTGAATCATTTGCCTCGCATAGGAAAATAGTGTGGCATGCCGCACTGAAGTCACTGGACTCGCTATACTCAAGTTTATGTTCTGTCCAAGGGCAAACAGCGGTAATCTGCTATGAACTCTTCCAACGTTGAAAGTCGAAGACTGTAATCTCGTCTTTAAAACTTCGAGAGGGTAGGTCACCGCTGTGGCTGTAGCGCCAGCTAAACCTCCAGCAATAAGATCCAGTGACTTCGAGACGTCTCTTGTTCTGTGTTCCAATGCCATCCCATATATACAGAAGTTTCGTTTTCTACAATCCAAGCTAATCCAAAACGTTTACGATAAACAATCTTGTTATGATTTTGATAAAAGTTTCGTCAAAACATGATTTTTAGAGGAGTCATGGGGGTGTGTGTTTGGACATATACAACATGATTGGCTGATCTACTTTGACCTTTGTCCACCAGGAATTTACACGTAATAAGCAGGTAATCACATGCTAATCAATCAATTATATTTATAAATTTTTGGCAAGTTAGCTATTTGAATGGGGTCTATAGATAAAAGGCTGACGGAGGGCGGACGACGGACGGCGGACGGCAGATGGCGGACGACAGATGGCAGAACATTTTATAAACACATGATTACTCCCGCAACCGATTATAATACCCTAAATTAAAGTATACCAGTGAAATAATATGTTTTCCTGTGAAATAATACCCAGTGAAATGAATATGTTTTCACCCGTTCGAATTTTTAGCAATGGAATTTTTTAATCAGCATTCAAATGATTCAATACGTATGTATGATGGCTATACGCCGTCTTTCTCGGGAAACGTTTGGAAATATTGTAAAAAAGCGCCTTAGTTTTGGAGCCTCTGTTAGGCAGAATTAAATGACATTCACTTGCTGGCATTTTCGTACTTCAAAGATGCTGTAGAGTCCGTTCTGCGCATATATTCTGCGCATCAACACATTCCATCAGTGGGGGAGCTTGGGGGAGCAACCTTTGGAATGTTGTTAATATTTCGCACCTTCCGAACTTTCTTGAACTGAATCTCTAATCTGCATCATTTACAAGCATATAGCGAACAGGAAGAGTGTTAAAAATTCAGTATAATATATATCTAATCATACTTTACAACTGTAGCACTGAGTTCAAAACGTAAACAAAGCGTTTGTTTACATTACGGACTTTACATCACCTTTAAATAGTACTGACTTGTTGTTTTATAATGAAAATAATCCCCGTTTTAATTATAAACCCAAGAGGTCCACACGTAGAAATGGCGGATTTGCATGCGACGACTATTCTATATATGGATTTTAGAAATATTATGCATTAGGAGCGGACCATTTGATGAAGTGCATTTTCATTGAGCCCAATAATCATTTCACAGATCTAAGGCTGGTATACTTTAATTTAGGGTATTATAATCGGTTGCGGTAGTAATCATGTGTTTATAAAATGCTCCGTCGTCCGCCGTCCGTCGTCCGCCGTCCGCCTTTTATCCGTCCGCCTTTTATCCGACACCCATTACACCCATTTGAGGGTTGGTTAAAACACAATTAATAATCACTGGGTGCAAAAATATTGTGTACGATATGTGTATATATATATATATATATATATAGATTTTGATATTTGAAAGAGTTTGTTTCTCTTTTGTCGCATCTGAGTTTGCTGCGCAATGCTCAGTATATAGCGAAATGACGAGAGTGCTCAAGAATGGATGTACGAAGTGAACGAATTGCGAATATATATATATATATATATATATATATATATATATATATATATATATATATATATATATATATATATATATATATATATATATATATATATATATATATATATATATATATATATATTCGCAATTCGTTCACTTGGGCGACCAATCTTAGTCTTCAATTAAAATTCATTATTGGTACATGTTGGCATCAATTGAGGTGGAAAGTCAGCAATTGCGACCTCCTGTCACTGCCTGATAACCAACCGTCGCAGGTCATCCTAGTGACTGCACTCAAAATTAAATATCTCACGATTATGATATGGCGATATATTATTATTGTTGACATATTTTCATCTTAGCACTTATGCATTTCCCATCACTGTGTCACAGTAGTTCAACAGAAAGGGAATAAACAGTCGCCAGAGCAACCTCAAATGAATTAATTAATCTCGAAATCATTTTGCCAAATTAATCTTATCTATTTGTACGAATTTTGGTAGCTTTCGGCTATTTGCCGCTACCTCCTGCAAAGTTCTTACAAGTATGCGCTCTGTCAAAGAGTTACCTATTCTGTGTGTAAATTTATTTTGATCTTACTATGGCAACGACTTAGTTACAAAAACTATCAGTAACATGCCAACGCAAAATAATCGCAGGAGGCTGATATCTACTTTTCCTGTCACAGTTCATCATCAAAGTCTATATATAAATCACCGGCCATCGCTCTCTTCCTTGTGAAAAATCCGCAGAAATGTACTCAAAACGATTTTAGTGGAAAAACTATATAGCTTTACCATGAATTACCATGGCTTAACTTTTTCCTAAAACATGGCTCAGTTTATATAATTAAAAGGAAATAGATCATCTTGAAATTCAAGTGCGAACTAAACAAACGGATTTTGTCTCAAACGAGTGACTCGTAATTCGTTCAAATATATAGCATTGATTGTCAAGATTTCTTTGGAGTCACTATCACTGTCAGTGCATGGGGATAAAATTTAAGGGAATATTTTAATTGCAGGCATGGTCTTTGATCACTCATCATAGTCTAGGATCTGTATATGAGTTTGTATGCATTTCACATTTAGGACAGATAATCTCAACTGTTTTGGCGCAAGTTGACCATGACGGTCAACATGGTAACGCTGCGCGAACCATAGAGATTATAAATAACACTAGAGGAGGCATCGAGTTTAAAAACTGGGAACGCAGCTAATGGGGGGCAAATTCAAGTCCCGGATATAAAATCGTGCTCTCATTGGCTGATTTGAAACTCGTCACCAATGGGAACACGAATACACATCCGGGACTTGAATTTGCCCCCCAATAGTCGCGTTCCCTTTTTTTACTGAATTAAGATTACAATGCCTCCTCTAGTGTTATTTATAATCTCTATGGCGCAAACCCCACGACTTTTTCAAAAAAAATTAGAAAATGATTTTCAAAAAAAGTTTAAAAAAGTTAAAAAAAGTTAGATTTTTAGATTAACAATTAGTTAGTGTTTAATAATTTACTCATATAGTAAATTCAAAGGTGGAGCTCATGCTGATTAATTCATTGTAAGATTGAACGAATCTAGAACTATATCTATACTCTGAATTTCGAATATTGGGAGGGGGGGGGGGGGGGGGGGGGGGGCGGCCCGATCACGCAGAGTTGCGCATGCTAATTCGGAACACTGAGCTTGTTGACTTGTTGCCCTTGTTGGGTATCACTGCAGTAACTGCACTGAAAAAACTGAGAACAGAGAGACATCAGAACTACTGTGATAACGATTTTATTACATTTAATTTTCATAATGTTATCTTTGCAACAGTTTTGACACTTTCGGAGAATGGAATTGATACTTTTTCTATAGTATCGGCCCAGGGCCGTCCTCAGGGAATTCTCCAGGGGGGTGTAAGGTCATTTCAACCGACCAGTACCTGGAAAATTTTTTTCGGAACAAATTATTTTTGGCGAATAGGGCCGCCGAGAAGTTGACGGGAGTCCGGGCGAGAAATTTTTTTCGGAGACCAACAACCTCTATCTTGCCGTTTGCGCGAAAATATTTAACGAAAATAGCAGTCCTACCGACTGAATAGCAGTCCTGCCGACTGAATACAATTTCTGGGGGGTGTCACCCCCCCCCCACATCTCCGGCCCTGAGTATCGCCCATCACTACCCCGCATATTAGAAAAGTGAATAGATGAATATATATATTTATTATACACTCACGCGCACTTAACCAATCCGATACTCGTAAAGTAACATGTGGAGTTCGTCAGGGGTCTATCTTAGGTCCACTACTGTTTTTAATTTTTATAAACGACCTACCTAATAGTGAATTGGTATCAGATGGGCGTTTATTCGCTGATGATACCAAGTACCAACTTGACTTTTGCGGACAGCAACCCTGACAAGTTGATTTCTGTTCTAAATGGCGACCTTAAAACTCTCCAAAACTGGCTTAACCTGAATAAACTAAGCCTGAATGCGATTAAAACTAAATGTATGTTTCTGGGATCCAGGCAAAAATTAAGTACTATTCCTGAAGAACCTAATATTGCTATCTCCGGAAACAAAATTGAAAGAGTTAGATCTTATAAGTGTTTAGGTTTAAAACTGAGCGAGAGTTTGACATGGGAGCATCATGTTTCTACTATAATCTCCAAAGTCTCCAAGGTGATTGGAGTTCTACGAAGACTAAAACCATTGCTCCCACAGTCAACTCTTGTCATGATCTAGTAACTCTTTAGCACAGCCATACTTTGATTATTGTAGTATTGTCTGGGATAGCCTAGGCAAGGGTCTTGGACAAAAGTTACAGCGATTACAGAATAGGGCTGCAAGAATTATTACTGAATCTGATTATAACATCCGGTCATCAGATATTTTAACATCATTGAATTGGACCAACAGTTCAAAACTTTTATGTACAAAACTTTTATGTACAAAACTGTTAATAATATGGTTCCTACTGTAGTTACTTGTCTGGAAAATTTACTTCCACGTCAATGATACACGAACATAGTTTGCGTGGATCTAATCATAAACCTTTTGTACCAAGACCGTTAACGGAATCCTTGAAGAAACGTTTTTCCTATAGAGGAGCTACCCTATGGAATGACCGTCGAACTCACTAGAGTTCAATCTCTCGCTGAGTTTAAATCTAAAATATCTTAATATTTATTTTATATTAGTTTCTTTGCATGTGTAGTTTGTTACTTTTGTAAATAGTTTGATACCTTTTTTTAGTAATTAGTCTACTAGTATAGGTACACGTCTCCATTGAAGAGCACATAACATAACCTGTGAAATGGACCTCGTGTTTTAAATAAAGATGTCAAGTAATCGTTGAGAGGGTCACGTGCCGATCCAAAATTTTACGATATTGGACAGGAACCTATTGGACAGTTGCGAATTTTCATGGTTTTTCAACCCTTTTCAGATGTCTCAGATGTTTTGTCAGACTAATATATATGATAGGTCAATACTCTGGTCACTGTACTCGTTTGATGAAAATTTTTTGATAACATCACTGATGTGCGCATGTTTGCGGATTGCGGAAGATTTCAAGATGGCGGCCGCTGGGAGTCGTTTGCCCCAACTGCACAAAGGGCTTAAACTTACAAAAGCTGAAAGAAAGATGATGAAAAAACAAAATAAAGCACTTCACACGCTGAAGAATAGAGCACGAGAAATAGGCGGGATATCTGAGATTCCTACACCGTATTTGTTGGTGAAAAATGGCGGATTAATGTGTGGAGTAAACAGACAAGACTTGGTCAATGTCTTTGATAAATGTGGAAAACTGGACGATCTAATCATGATTCCTGGAAAATCATTTAGTTACGTGCTGTTTTCTGATGTCACAAGTGCTAAGGAGGCAATGAAAAATATAAATGGCCAAAAATTACCTTTGAACCAAACAAGTGATAGGACATTTTATCTGGCATATTTATTGAAAAGACCTTGTGCAGCATTGTGTTTGTCAGATAAATCTTACCCGTCAGGAATGATTCTCATTGAAGATTTCATCAGTGAACATCTAGAACATGAATTGTTGCAGTATTTTTCAAGTTGTAAGGAGACAGTCAGTTCTAATGAAATGAATGTACCAGGTATGAAAAGGATCCATCTCAGTCAAGGAGGTGCATGTAGAAATTTTAGATCTGTCCATGACCAGATAGTATTGAGCCCAAATCCTGCAATGAATACCAGCTAAAATAATACTACGTAAATTTTATTAGTTTTCAAGCAAATTCTCAGGAATTTGAGATGCTTAGGAGGGCCGGCCGATTCTTTTCATACATGTGAAGCGTGACATATGGTTATTATGTGAAACTGTTGATTGGCTCTTGATTTTAATAACCAAGAACAGTTGATGCCATAATTAACCCACTAATTAATAGCCTGGGTGCACCGGATAGTCATTTTTACTATCCGGCCGGATACCGGACTTGCCGGATATCTGAAAAAAATCCGGCCGGATATTTTATCAATTTGAATACTTGACATATAATATATATTTATAATGATTTTTTCATCCATGTATTAGTGTAGAAGGTGACACTATTTTTGAGTAAATAATCAATTGTGGTTAACAAAAAATCTGTCTTTGACTTTTTCTACAGTTCACATGTTTCTGAAAAGCAATGTGATTTAGTCGATGTGATTTAGTACAGCTTTTGGTGCCATACCCTGCAAATAGTTTATTAATTAATTCAATTAATTATATCAGTGGCTAGCTTTTTCACATGTCCTTTTTTGGGGTTTATTTTTTTAGTATTTTTTATGTTTTAACTAACGGAAATTTAGTTCAATTCATGAAAAACAAATTATCCGGTATCCAACCGGATAATAGCAAATATCCGGCCGGATAGTATAATTGTGTCATTATTCGGCCGGATAATCCGCCCGGATACTATATCCGGTGCACCCCTACTATTAAATTAACTCTCCCCTTGACAAGTAAAATTGTCTGGCATTAGGCAAAAAATACTAAAGTATGGCACATTGAGGTGTAATGCAATCTGAGCTCTTTTATTCTATGAGCTTTTAACTGCCATTTTGCAGCCTTCAACAGGTAAGTTAAAATAAATAAATATTTTGAACCAGTGAGCCAACAACTCAATCTGAATAATACTGGTTTTCAGGGTTCAGATTAACAGTGTGCAATTATGCAAAATTTTGCACATCGTTCTGGACCAAATAGTGAAAATTGCACATCAGTTGGCCAAACGATGTGAAAAAAAAATCAGACTTGGGACTATTAATGAACCTCCATCCATATTTATAGATTTAAACAAAGCCAATCTGTTGTAAACAATCTGTTTATAAATAATTATTTTAAAAATAATTTATAAACAAGTACTTTTGCTTGCACACTAGCAGCATGTTTGCAGACTGGAAGGTGTAAAATTTGACTGACAAACACATTGTCTGGTTAAATCTTATGTGTTCGGTTTGTATATCAAAGATTGCAAGCAATGTTTAAAAAGTATTCAAATAATTAAATTATTGCAGTTTGGTTGAGTATATAAAAATTTAGATAAATATAATTTTTTTCCAACTATTATTCGAACCCTTCAAACATCCTCAAAAGCTGAATTGGCCTCTGGACATACCAAGAGTTCCCCCTTTCACACAGCACTAATTTTCTTAGTAGGGAAGTGTGGATTTTTCTGGAAAGACCAATAATCACCATATACTGTAACACTACTGTAACTACCATAATACAACAGTGAGGATATTCTCCTCATCAGGCATCTCTATGGGTTATAAGCTGTGAATGGGTACATAGTTTAATAGTTTTCCAATCCACCCGATTCCCTAGAGATGCCTGTGGAGGAACCTAAGTGAAGCCTGTTTTCCACTAAGCGAATTTGTTCGTGCTAAGTGAAGCAAAAAAGTTTTGGCAATGTGTTTGGTAAGCTAGTGAAAACAATTTGCCGGGGAAAAGTTGGATCAGTTCCTACTGTTTTACTTGTTGCTTTACTTTGCACAAATAATTTCGCCTGGTGGAGAACAGGCTTACTGAGAATGTGTATAAGAATGAAATGTGTAAGTTTTCGGAATACAATTAATTTAAATTGTTTTTTTTTTTCATTTCAATCGTTCTAGCTGAACAGCAGTTAAAGCACAGATATGTAAAACATTATGGTTATGAATTTATATATGGTTCAAATAATGTGGACAAAGACAACCCATTACCAAATGGAATTCCAAGTGAATGTTTGCCAGTTATGGAAAAGCTTGTTTCACTTGGTTGTGTCAAGCATGAACCAGATCAACTAACAGTTAATGAATATCAGCCTGGTCAAGGCAAGTAAATCCAAACTACTTTAATTCAAAATTTTCTGGGCATATATAAATCCTAACACATCCTCAGCAACATACAGTATTTATAACTTATCTGTTTACTCATTTTTGGTCAGGAAAACGATGTTTAATTTTTAAACGATATAATATAATATGTGCTGTCTGATATAGTATGTACTTTTGTATTAGTCCTGGTAGTGTCAAATTATTCTTTTTTAAATCGAAATGATTTCTATAGTATACAGTATGATTTCTGTAGTATTGTTATATATGATAATACGAGGCCTGCCTCCTCCGCAGGCCCTTACTATTTGTAGATCAGTGTATATATAGACATATCAGTTTAATATATAGATCAGTGGCTGAACAAATCTGTTGTGATGCATGCTGGGAACTCCTCCCCTTCCCATCGTCCCTCGCGCCCCCATTAATTTTTTTTCGTCTTTTACTAATTAATTATTTGATAGCAAGTGACTGGGGACGAGGCAGATACGAGGCACGCTCTTTGAGTGGTTATAATAATACTAAATTTTATATGAATTGAATGCTAGCTATATACAAGTGACGTCACATAAGTACTGTACATGACGTCAGGTTATTACATCCCTCCCTTGTTTTGAATGGAGGTTCGTCGGGCTATATACAGTATATATATATATATATATATATATATATATATATATATATATATATATATATATATATATATATATATATATATTTTTTTTATTTATATAAAAATAT